ATATCATTTATCTGTGGATTTTCAAAGGCTCCAGTGTATTAATTTAATATATATACCTGAATATTAAGATGAAAGCAATTTTCCATTAACTGCCAGTGGCCTCATTTGTTACACTCAGCCCTAGAGGGCCTCGAACCTCTGACTAGTCTTACACGGTCTGCAACACTAGACCAAGTTTTTGATTCCTCAGGAAAAGGGTGAGGCTTGAAATTTACATGTCTAAACAGTTATCAAGTGCTGCTGAGGTTTGCAGATCAGAGGCTACACTATGATGAGCCATTTCTAGATTCCAATGGTCAGAAAACAAGAGGTATACTGGCTGGTGGTTGTGTGCCGTGGAGTCAGTTCTGACACCTGTATAGTTTGCAAGCCTATAAATCTTTACAGGAGCAGAAAGCCTTATCTTTCTCCCATGGAGAGACTGGGAGATTTGAACTGCTGACCTTTTGGTTCACAGCCTAGCTCATAATCTACTAAACTAAGAGACCCACTCATATATTTTTGTCTGCTAGTATTTTAACAGGGAGTCCTGGTGCGGCACTGTAGGGTAAGCCCTGGACCACAAGGTCAGTTTGAACAAGGTCAGCAGTTCAAACTCACCAGCCACTCCTCAAAAACCCTATACAGGCTTGCTCACTAGGAATCAGAACCAACTTGATGGCACTTAACAACAACAAAGGATTTTAGCAACATGCTAATTTTAAACATTTGAAAATTTCATAAAAAAATCAGCCTTCTAGCTAAATATTTAGTCAAGGAAGATGTCCTGGTCTAAGCTACCATTGGCAGTCCCCACACTCACATCACCTGGCGGAGCACTATACGTTGCTTGTACACCCTATTCTTTATGCTTTTTATTGTATTACTCATTCTGACTTCATACACCCTTTCTCCCTGTACTGCCGAAAATCTGCTGTTGTTGGGTGTTGTTGAGTCGGTTTTCGATTCATACCAATCCCATGTGACAGAGCAGAACTGTCCCATAAGGTTTTTTTCTAGGCTGTGTGGCACTGTCGGATCAGCACTGGACTATAAACCACAAGGCCATGGTTCAAACTCACCAGCTGCTCAGAAACCATGTACATGGTCATTATGAGTGGGAACCGACTGGACAACACTTTACAGGAGCAGATCCCCAGAGGTCTCCTGCAGAGCCAGTGTGTGTGTTCAAACTACCCACGTTAAAAGTTGTGTCCCCAGGGCTCCTCTATAAGATTGGCTTAAAATCCTTTCTCAGAGATCCTTTAGTAATATACATATTAAAGATTTAGCATAAAGTTGATGTGTATTTTAATTGTACTTTAACAATATAACATAAAAGACAGATTATATCATAAATTATAAATATACAGTATGATTTTCATTTTAAGTAAAATTTCAATTTTGTCCATTCTAATTTTTACAGTAAAAATACTCTTTAGAGTAAGACATTTAAATTAAGACATATTTTTAAATCATATAGCCAAAGTGTATCACAGCTCTACTAGAATATCCTATCTTATTTTGCATATCACCACCACCATCTATTTTGCAGACCAAAAAAATGGGAGATTGAGGGAAAACTGACATAATCCTCCTGATTTCATAACCTAACAATCTTTTACAGTCATTTTTAAAAAGTAAATGCTTCTAGTTTTTAAATCTGCAGAATATTTTCGAGGATTTTTGCTTCTATGGAATAGTAAGGGGAAGAAGGGAATTACACAGAGCTGGAAATGCTGAGTGCAAGTCTCTCCTCTGCCATAAATAGCTTTGTTATTCCATTTAAATCACTGACTTTTCTCTAGACCTTGGTTTCATTATCTTAAAATTAAGGTGAGAGAAAAGGATCTTCAATTACCTTCTCTCTCTAAAATCCTAGGACTACTGCTTCCAAAAAAGAAAGCATATTTAAAAACAATGTCACGTAGGTAAGTTTCTTTGTAACAGGTCAGCACAGCTTTTAAATTGGGCTTTCAAAGCTCTAATTAAAAACTCAGAAAACTCACAACTTGGGAAGAATATGCACGTTTAGCCTGCTAACCAAAAGGTCCAGCAGTTCAAACTCATAAAAGGCTATGTGGAAGAAAAGATCTGGCAACTGTTGCAGACCTTGTAAGACTAGTCAGAGGTTCGAGGCCCTCTAGGGCCGAGTGTAACAAATGAGGCCACTGGTAGTTAATGGCAAATTGCTTTCATATTAATATTCAGGTATATATATTAAATTAATACACTGGAGCCTTTGACAATCCACAGATAAATGTGGTATTTTCCTAAAGCCGAGACTAAAGGTTGC